TTTTTACAGAGAACTCACCATAAAACTTAAATTGTATTGTAGATAGTTATTTCAATGTTTGTCTATTACTTAGATACTGTGGTGTAGTATGAATGGGCTGTAGAGCTCATGAAAATGCAGTAAAAAAAAAATCAAAAGTCTATGCCTTCCTTTACATTTTCCAAAGCAGTACGTGGGTCTTATTGGAGTTTTTTGTGGGCCAATTCTGGGCCCCGGATGAATAGTTTGACAGCCCTAATATAAACAAATAAATGACCAAAAAGTTCCTGCTTTTTCACTATTTACTGTTGAAATCTGTTTTGTTTTGTTTTGTAAAGAATGTTTTCTGTAATTTTACACATTTATTTATTTGCGCTTCCAAATTTCTTTCATTTACAACAGTAGAGATCTTGTAGAAAAACTAAGATGTACCATCGAAATTGTACTTATTATTCTTATATTAAGTTATTTCAGGGAGTTGAATGTCTGTAGAGTGACAGAAAGGGAAGTTTCATTGGTCTGGCCCACTTAAGATCAAATAGGTTGCACGTGGCCCATGATGTAAAGTGAGTTTGACTTTCCTGGTGTAAATAATGAAACCGCGTTTGATGAATTCCAGTTGTCCACTGTCCCATTGTCCCACTGTCATTATGGTATTAATGGTTGTTTGATAGTTGTTTTTCATGTGAAAATGTTAAATTAAACATCAGATAATATGGTTTTTGTGCAATGTTTTGTTGCTTTTACAGTGTGGAAGTAAAGAAGAAAATATACACTATATAGTGTTTTTTGGGGGGGTGGGGGGCTTGCACTGACTTTTGGGATGTTATGAAGTGTTTTTGGATTTCACAAAACAGTGTGACTGTCTGTTCAGCTGTGTTGCATACTCTGCTACATGTGCTGCAGGGGCCACTCAGTTGATCCATTTCTTAATGATCCCAAACAAAAAAAAATATTTATGCCCAAAATGTTGACGTTAAGTAATTTGATTACATAAGAATGTTATAAGTACAATGGTGTACAATGTAAAATACTGAATCTGGCCAAATGCAGGTTACTTGATTGGCAGTTGTACATGCAGTCTTTACCATTTTCCTGATACATTTTCCTTAATGATTAATTATGTGAATAAGTGAACCTTTAAATTTAAACATTTCAATTGCATTTAATTCAGAAATATTGCTTCATGTTTATCAGTGCCAAGACTATTTTTTTAGTGCATCTGCAGATGCTTATATAGTTGTGATAGGCTAATATCAGCAGATAATAATGTGTTGGCCTGACTCTAGTATACCTTACATAATAATGCCAATTGTTACAGTAATACTGACTTATACTAATTAACAAGGCATTATAACAGCATCATTTACATTAGTTACCGCATATACAGCAGTTAAAGTTAGAAGCACAAAGTCTGAATGAGTTATTTTCCACCCACTATAATCTCTGATACTTTTGTGTTTACAGACTGTGCCTCCCCCTCCAGAGCTGCAGCCATCAAAGCTACCGCAGAACAGCAGTCCTCCCCAAAAAAAAAAAGGAGACAGGCTGGTTTACAGTCCTAAAAGCACCAATAGTCTGTTAGTTCTCTGAAGGAAAGCAACATGTTTCATTAAATCAGATCTGTCGTTGGTGGGATGCCTGCCCACGACATTTTATCACCTTTTATTTATCATTCAGAATGACTAATTGTCCGACTTGACTCCAATTTTATGGGCTGGGCTCCTCACAGAGCAAGCTGCTCAGACGCCCTCCTCCCTTCAGCAGCTTGCTCCTCCCTATCACCCCAACACACCCACTTGCCTTTGAAAAAGTGTAATTGAATGAGTTTACGTCGTCAAATTGATTAATCAT